CATAATCCAGGAGACATCCAAAAAGCTACCAAGAAGGACTCCAAAGCTCTCCAAATCATACTTTCTTTCCAGCTTCAGATTAACTGAATATATTTCCTCAGCATTTCCTCACATTTAAAGGAAAGGCTGCTGGAAGAGTTTTAAAATATGTTCCCTGTATTCTGCAGCTTTGATCTGCCTAGAGAAGAGGAGTGTCATGGCCTGGAATACCTTTGCAGCCACTCCCCAAGGCAGCCAATGGTACAGAAGTATTGCCATACACCCCACAATAGATCTGTTGCACATTGTGTCAGTTATGGCATTGTCCTTTCAAGCCAGCTGTATTTTCACCCAACAAAGAGCCATTCCTGCTTGAGGGAGCCCCCTACACTGTGACACTGGTTGGTACAGGACAGTCATTGCATACAGCAATCCTCATCCATACAACTTGCCACTTACTCAGAAAAGGCAGTCAGTCTGGTCAAGTACATGATTTGCTTTTGATAAATTTCTTCCTGGTCCCTTCAGTGCCTGGCAAAGATGATGATGATGTACTTAAGCTTTTTCTATATTGTCTGCCATTACATTCTCATCCCAGTCAGTTTTGCCCTCCATCAAATTTTACCTTCATTTTTTAAATGAGCACACCTGCAGAATTACTTTCTGTTATTCTTTATGACCATTGTAAAACTTAGCTCAAACTCATCAGCTTTCTGATTTCATCACTATGCAGGCAAGGAAAGCTTGTCTATATCCCAGAAGGTCTTTGCTTAGCCTAGGAAGCCTTATGCTGAATCCTTTGTCTTCCTGCCAAACAGGATGGTTTCTTCCTTAGTTCTCAGTAAGTTTTATTTAGAAATCATCAATTTTTCATGGGCTGTATATCTCTGTGGCTGGATCCCAAGCAATATTGCTTAGCAGTTTTCCAAAAAGATGAAGAAGACAGTTCTGCTGAAGACTCCAGTCATAACTTGCTGGCTGCCTTTTCAGACTTCCTTTGAATCATGAAATCAACCAACTTATGATCCCAGCTACTATCACATTTTAGACCAATTCTCCCCTCTTCATGAGAAGCAAGTCAAGCAGAGAATTATGCTTCTTTATTCCACCAAGGATCATTAGGAAATTGTCAGCAAACACAATCAAGGAATGTCCCAAACTGCCTGCACAACACTTCAGTCTTACCAGAAACTATTATATTTTTGTACTACACAGGTAAATACCACATTCTATTAACCTGAAATGTTGCTATTTTATTTCAAGTTCAAAATGCAACAATTAAAAAAAAAAAAAAAAACAAAAAAAACAACAGTGGAAAGCAATGCTTCCATTCCCCAGTGAATTTAAAATGAATTCAACAACAAAAAAAAAGTAGAAGAAAATTACGCCCTTCACTGACAGCATTCTGGGCTAATCCATACACAACTTACAAAAGCCCAGTAATTTAAAAATGACATTCAGTTTCATTAAAACTTATGGCTGAAGATGATTTGGTACTTTTCTGTGCCTTGCGCTCACATTAAATAATTCAATTAAAACCAATTAAGTAAAGGATATACTGCATTTTTTTCAGATGCAAATTTAATATTAGACCAAAAGGATACAATTTTTATCACCAGAAACACATATTTTTTGGACCAAAAAAAAAAAAAAAAAAAAAATCAGCAAAAAAAAAAAATCCAAAACATTAATAAAAAAAAAAAATAATAATAAAAAAAAAAAAAAACAAAGAAAAGGAAAAGCAAAAGAAAGTGGACAAATTACGGTAAATGTTCAAGTATTTCGTCTTTACCAATAGATTAATTACAGCAAGTAACTTTAGTGAAAGCTTGTCATCAGCTTTATCATACGTAAAAAAGATTGCAAATGTCTCTTATATTGAAATTACTGTTCCAAATATTTTTAGCTGGCACAAATGAAAATCTGCCAGAAGTGTTGCCATACTATGATTGCATGGGTAATAAATTTCCTTATGCGATCACCATGTAAATTACCCCTGAGAACCTATTATAGTAAGAACCAGGTAGTTTTAATAGATAGCACTGCAGTAGTTGGCAATCATCTTAATTATAAAAAATTATGTGAAGAAACCTAATTATAAATGTTGCAATCAAGGGATCTATAGGGTTTAGTAGAATTATCAATATGATAATTAACTTCCCAAAAGATTTTAAGTCTTTTTTAAAATGGTCAGCAACAAAGACTTTCGAAATACCTTCCCATTTTAAAGGCACATTCGTCAGCAAATCCCAAGGTATTGCATAGGGAGAGTGCAATCTCTACTCCCTGTTTATAGCTATGAAGATTGCAATGGGTATTAAGTGGCATTTTCAATAGTTAAACACTTGAATTGATATGCAATAATCAGCTACACAGACATTATTTAAAAAATAACTGCCTCAGCCTCATTCAAGGCTCATTTTGAAGGTCACAGTTTCTCTGTCATAGAAGTTAGAGAAGAAACCTGGTCTCCTGGCTCTTGTTCAGGTATCTTTCAGTGCATCTGATTTGTGTTCAGTGAGGAAATCTAGCAGCAAGAAGTGACATTTTTCTTAAAATATATCACAGTATTCATTTTGTCTTTGTGCTTTTGTATCCTGATCATCGGTGTAGCACATAAACTATTCTCACTTATACATTTAAGTTCATTATAGTCTCTTCTGTAGCTGAAATAAGATCTTGTTTAGAACTATGAGATCTGTATTTGATTTGCTCTGTTGCATTTTAGTGCCTCCTCATATTATTCGATGTCTTTATTTCTGCCAGTGTCACCTGCCTGCCACGGAATTGACACATGTGCAGCCAGCCTCTCCTGTCTGGAATTCTAGACAGGAAGAATACTGGAGAGGAATATTCATAATATATCCTGTTTTGCTAAGCATCTGTTTTTTTTTTTCCCCAAAAACCCACAGAATGAAGGTGGCTGGCGTGAATACCTCAGTGAAAACTGTTTTACTGTCAGGGCTTAAAACAAAAAAGTTAACTTGTATAATAAAAAAATAAATGGAATAGGAAGACATCTGTCTTCCAAAGCAGACCAAAAAGGCACACTAATTAATTTCAATATATATCTTACATGCTTGTTAGAGAAGGTCTGCTCTGTGCTGGATGCCTGTCTAACTAATGGACTGTCACTGTCTTTTCTTATTCTGTATCTCCTTCTTCCTTTCTCCCTTTTCTTTTTCTTTTTAGTAGAAACAATTAAAAAGTTAAAATCAGCTACAAGGAACAGAAACAAAGGACTTTTAATGATAATTATCCATCACCTTACAGTTTTTGTAGCTGTTTAAATGATCCTTTCATTTTGAGGACAGCTTTTCTCTTTTTTTCAGATTTACTTCCTCTATTGTCTGTGATTTTTTGCTTTTTGTTTTTTAAACCCTTATCTTCTTTCAAGATTGCATTTTTTTGCTGCTTTTAAACTTAATGAACAGTCAATCTTAGTGGCACTGATGTCTCATTACAGAAGTAAGCCTTCATCATTGTAACCCAGATACTATATTAGTATTCCCAGATATAGACATTTTAGGAATTATGAGGTCAATACACAGGCAAAGCCTTGATTGACAATTTAATGAAACCAAAGTTTTAAGTCTTAAGTGAAAAATGTAACTTCTTGGAATACTTTGGAGAAAAATCATTCTAACAGAAAGTCTCACATTTCTTGAATAAATTGAATAAAAGCAATGTTGTTTTTGCATCCTCAATCAAAACGAAGCTGAAGTTCTTTTACCCAACAGGGAAGCAAGGTGTGGTTTCCATAAATTTATGACCTGATTAAAAACTCCATCATGATTAACTCTGAATCTGTCTGATCCAACAAGCTAAGCAGCTTGAGATCTTAATCGTATGCAATAAGAAATAAGGAAGGCAAATTAGCAAATTATGAAGCGAATGCATAAGAGGCTAAGATTCCTTGGTCTACACAGTAGACCAGATTACATAACCAGAAACACCCTGCCTTTTAGCTTTAAACACAATAAATTTGTAAATACTGAAGTGCAGAAAAAAAATTAAATTTGCCATTTCCTTTGGTACTTGACATTATGATGAAGGCTTATTTCACAAACCTAACAATGTTGTCTTCTGAGTGAATGGTAGTGCTCATTAAAAAAAAAAAACAAGGGGTCTTATTAGTGACACAACACAAGACTCAAAAGAACTCTTCCAACGTTTTCCTCTGCGTCTTTTCTAGCTGGAAATCAAGTAAATATATAAAATTCCGCTAACTTGTTAAAAAAAAAAAAAAGAAAGAAAGAAAGAAAAGAAGGATTAAGAGCAATTTCCAATGGTCATTTTGCTGATAGTCAAAGAATTCCTTTCATAACATAATCAAGTGCCACACCATAGAGTTTCCTTTTAACCTCCTGTCCTTTTAACTTCCACAGAAAGTTGTTTCATAATGTGATTTTCTGTTGTCTAGGAGGAGACTTTTTTTTGGTTTCACACCTTAATTTATTCACAGCTATTTACAGACAAAAAATTGTTTACTTTTTCTTTCTTTCATCATACTGTTTACTCTCCATGGTATTTGTCTTTCAGAGTGTGCAGAGCAGCTATAGACTATTTCAGCTTGCTTTCAGAGAACTAAACAAGCGGGCTGTTCAGAGTACTCACAGACAGGTACAAAGACATGTACCATCACTCCACCCATACCTGCAGTGAGCTAGATGAGTCACCAATCCCGAGATCTCCCAGCTGCACCAGTAAGGAACTATCACAGTTAATTCTTAAGAACCAGAGTGCTCTTCTCAGTGCTAACACTGCTTTAATGTTGCCGTGTTGTTTAGGAACTAGTGCAGGACTGCACCAAGGAAACATGAACTTCAGGTCATGCATTTATGAGATCTTCCCCTTAGTTTCTCTGTAACTGTAGCAGTTTTAATTCATCTACCCTTGAACATGGGTGAAAACAGCTACATCTTATATGCCATGGGAGACGCACTGAGTTTATAATCATGGTTTACCTATGTTCATTATAATTGCCATGAAAGCAAACAAAAAAAAGAAAAGCATCTGACCTGGTGTAGTCATCCTCCACAAGCATGTGCTTTGGAATGGGTGAGTATCTTCCAGGTGAGATAGGGGCCAGAGACGCCTTGTACTCTAAAGTGCCGTTGTTTCCAGAAGAGAGTATATGATTTTCCATTGGTGGAGAATAAGCTGTTGTAAGAATAAGCATTTCTAGTTAGCCACTGTTGATAATAGCAAATAATAATAACAATAATGTGGCTCATTTTGCAGGAATTGATTCTTCAGAGGGTTCTGAATAAGAAAGAATAGATTGTGAGACTGCAAACAAATAATTTCTTTGATCTGAACAGACTGGAAGAAGGAAATGTATATAGGACAGAACAAGATTAAGAACACACATCATTTTGGCTCCCATACATAGAAGTGGGAATAAAACACTAAGAATTAAATGCAGGATAAGATTAGGAATTTTATGGTTGACAAGAATTACTTATGGTGGAGATTTAAATTTGTGATTTACTAAAGGTTCAGCATTTACTAATATAATTCAAATTTCAACACCAATACAGATGATATTATTTACAACATGGTAAATCTGTATATAAAATAGAAATATGATACAAATCACATACAAATTAATGAAAAATTTTGATAATTGCATGATTGTGTATGGCTCTATCTTGCATATTTGGATTTTGCTATTTGCTTGCTTTTTGCAGTTCTCAAGTTACTAGCAACAGCTGTAATCAAATATATAGTTAATACAATTAGAAAAGGAGATGACAAGTAGGAAAAACAAAGATGAGCTACAACTAATCTCATTAAAAGAAGTCCTTTTAGTCTTACTTTAAGTCTTTCTTTCAGACATTCAGTTACAGAATGCTTCAAAGCAAAATATCTCTACAGGGACAGGCCATTACTGATTCTGAAATACTCTGAACATGTGGATATAATGAAAAGTTCCCCATGGATAAATGAATCTCTATGCACCAACAGCCTGGGATGGGCTACTGGAAATCTTTTCAACCTTTGCTCCCTCTCTGGAACTGTGTCTGTCTTCTCATACCCTGCTGATCTATAATCTGACATAATAAATGCACCCTTTTAGAACTCCCAAATTATTATTTTAGGAAGTATTATAGAGCAGGAGATTGGATGGAGACAAATAGTTGTTTTACTTGTTGTGCTTTGTTAAGATCCAGACCAAACTACTACTGAACAACCATAATTGCCATCTGTTGTAACATTTGCTAAGTAAATAGTTATCCTCAGCACAGTTGAATATACCACCTGATGTGCACGTTACAAAACCTTCCCTGTTATTTTTATGGAGCAGTTTGAATAAGGAGGATTACGGATATTATCTTTCCCCTTGACTACTTCATTTCACAGTAGCAATGCTCTGCAAATGAGTGGAGAAAATTAATATCTGGCTTTTATTGAGAAAATCTACCTTTCCCAGCTGCTGGCTTCCTGGCCACAAGTGCTCCTAATGTTATTGGCAGAAGCTCAAAACTTGTACAGATCAGTTGCTAAAGCTCTTTTCAAAAATTAAACTACCACACAGTTGTTAGGAGGAGCAGCTAGTCCCTGCTGGTTGGTAGTAGAATCCAAGGCAATCAGTTTTTAGTGAAGAATTAAATGAAGGAAGGGAGATTCAGTAACAATATGGATAGACTGACACTGTAAGTATAGGGAGCTGCAACTGAAACATTAAGATTATATTTATGAATGAGAAGGGAATGCGAATGTCTCAGTGTGGGAACATCAAGAAGACTGCCAGAAGGAGGCCTAAAAGAACTGAACCTAAATTCAGCAATAGGTTATCAAAACCCAAAACAACTAGGGGCAACTTCCCAGGAGAGCCTACAACCAATCTAAAGGAAAAATTTGAATTATTAAGAGATAATAGCAAGAGATAAAGATCAGATAGGAGTACTGCACACTCAGACTGAAAGACATAGGAAAAGTGAGTAAATCCAGAGACAGAAGATTCTAATCACTGTTATCTCCTTACAGCTACAAAAAACATATTGTCTAGGAGGTATGCCTTAAGAGGGTGTGTACTGATAGGGATTCACAGAAGCCCACCCTTGCACTTGGTCATCTCAGAGAATCCTGACAAGCTCACATTCCTTTCTACTGGACACCACATGCCAGTGTAGATGATTTTCAGTGCATGGATATCACAGGTAGAGTAAAAACAGGTTGTTTTAAAATAGAATAGTCTATATCTCCAATAAAATCCTTCACTGGGCTTTACTAATAACTAAACGACTAAGAGAACTTCATACAACTGAAAACATTTAATGCAGTGACAAAGTCTTCAGTAAAGGAGCATTTGTTGAACATATATAAAGTTAATGGACAGACTGACAATGATGCAAAGTGGAACGGGAAGCTAGGAAGTGGATATACATGGAAAAAAAGGCAGCTTTATGCAGATAGAGAAGTGATTTTTCATTCTGAAATGAAAAATGCCTAAATATGCCTTTCATGCCTAAATATTTCAGGCAAATATCTATTCATTTTTCTGAAGCTTTGCACTAAGTTTGTTTGGATATTTTGCTGTTTATACTGATTTTTCATTGGACAGAGGATGCCTGTCTACAAATCCAATCACATTTTGAAATACACTTACATGTATTTTTTACTGTAATTGTCACAAGAGTAACAGATTAATCCGATCTCTTGGACAATGGCTTATTTGAGTCCGCACAGCAATACATTATGTACACTTCTACTTTTGCTGCAAATATACTTCAGTTGAGCTGCAGTATTTACAGTATTTTGTAAGCATAGCATACATAAGTAGCAGTAAATGTTTCATTTTTTGTAGTCCTCCAAGCTGTTTCATAACCTTTAATAGGATACATTAAACAAGCTATGAAAAAACCACAATCACCTGATGAACTGATCTCTTACAGAAAATGAAATGCAACAGTCACTTACAGTGAGTAATGTCTGGTGGGCCATAAGGATCGGTCATGTAAATGGTGGTGGGCTTTCCAACTTTTAGATACACTACATCTGATGTGTTCTTCAGTATCGCTACTGCCTCTTCATGGGTAACTTCTTCTAAACTATAATTGTTTACCTTAAAGGAGAAATTAGACAGGTGAGTTAGGACGCGGCAATGGACAAAATAATGACACTGTCTTGCAGTTTTCCCAGTGTTAGAAAAACTCAAGGAGCACTGAAGATTATCGCAATAGTATTACAGCAGAATAGAAAATAAAGTTTTCTTAGCACATGTATATTCAAATACTGAAGTAGTCTTTTTGAGAGTACCACAGAAACATAATGGGCTTAGATGGTCTTGTTAGGAGTTAAGTCCTTTGTGATTCTGCTGCCAGTATCAGCATTAGCATAAAACTATATTTTGAAATAATTCAATAACATCACATCATTTATAGAAACTGCCTATACTATTTGACCTACCAAGCTCATCTGTCCAAAACTATCACACAGAATACATAGCTAGGACCACTAATATACTTAAGACCTCAAAATCTTTTCATCCATAACATGTCATTGGCAATTGAAATAATATGAGAGAAACTAATATAAAACAAGGAGGGGATTTCTATGAGGTGCAGGAAATGAAAAAAAAAAAAAAAAGAAAGCAGTTAATCAGTTTTCTGGAAACACGGGAGAAAGATGCTGAAAAAAAAAAGAGGATGAAGTACTGGTTCTGTGCTCTGTCCAAGAAGAATAATGCTCAATGATAAGAGGACAGGATTACAGATTAGAGAGGGATGGAGGCAGTAAGTCTTGACTATTTATGCTTTACTGCCAGAAAAAGGAAATTCAAAGCAAAGTGTCAGAAGCAGTTTATTGTAGAAGGGTATACAAATTATTCACATGTAAACCCATTACATCTACTCATGTCAACAATAGGTGTGCTCCTATGAACAGAATACTAAATGATCCCTGTACCAAAAAAGTATACAACCTGAATAAAGTAGTCACAGGACAGAGGAAAGAGGTAAAGAATAATGTAGATACAGCTTTCCGATGTCTGGTGTAAGGCAGAAGAAAAGGCTACATTCCAAGGTGAATATTAAACATGAAACATTTGACGGTGATTTAAAGCACCATCCTTCAACTTTTACAGTTATTACAAGGATTCCTTGTAAACTTTATGCATGATGGCAGAAGAAGCTCCTCAACTACAGTGTGACAAAGAACAGCACTAAATCACATAAGGCAATATACTTTCTAGGGAATTTATTTTCAGTAAATTATAGGAAACTTGGCCGTTACACCAAGGTACTGGCGAAGGTATTAACTGGTAATTGGTAACTGGAAAGAAATCCAGTTTTTATGAAGCATTGGAGGACTGTTCATATTCAGCTGATATCAACAGCAATAGAAAATGACTGCTCTCAGATATTATTGCTAAATGCAAGGATTCTGTTTAAATTTTGATCCTTGCATAATTCTGAGACTTACTTTTAAGGTTGATTGAAACAGGCAGTGACAGGCTTATTATAACAACTTGACATGAAGAGCAATGATACAATCTAATGCTCACAAGAGAGCTCCTGACACTGTATGCTGTATTTTGGCGGGTCTTCTTTTCAAATAGAAGTATGATCCCTACCTTATATAAATTTATCTTTTTTTTTTTTAATTTCAGAAACAGCATTAACATACATATGCACTTTTAATAAATATATTTTAAATACTAGACTAGTAGGAAGCAGAAATGACTGAAAAATAGCCTCTCACTGCTGTATTTCAAAACCATCTCTAATATTGAAAATTCACACTCCTGTTAATACCATTATATAGTTATTCTTTACCATCCCCCCTTCCCTCACTGTCTGTATTTTACTACTGAATCACAGACAGAATGAGTTTGGAAGGGACCTCTATGTCCATCTGGTCCAGTCCCTGTGCTTGCAGGGACACTCCAAGCAGGGTGCCCAGCACCACGTCCAGGTGGCTTTGGAAGATCTCCAAGAAGGAGACTCTATAAAGCCTCTGAGCAACCTGTTGGGTTTCATCCTAAATCGACTACCACTATACTTCTGTTTAAATAAAAGATGTTCTTAGAGAAAACAAAACAAAACTATACTAAACTAATAGAACCCTACATAAAATGTCATAGCACTGCATAAACATAGAAATCTGGAAAGCAGTTTCTGCAAACAGGAGGAAATATATAAGGAGGCATGTTGACATAACAGGAAAATAACAAGAGAAATAAATAATACAGGATAAAGGAAATTAAAATACTTAGAAGTTCAATCAAAGAAGTGATGGGAGAAATAAGTACAAAATGTTGCCAAAGAGAAATAAAGACTGGTTTGTTTTTTTTTCCTTTTTTTCTATTTTTCTCTCCTGAATAGCATAATGAAGGCAATGAAGTGTAAACACAAGCAACAATTATTTGGAAGTTTTCCTAGATTAATATTGGAAAATAAAGGCATTAAGCAGCAGCTGAAGGGAAAAGCTTAAAATTCCCCAAAAGGCTGTACAGACATTTTAAAAAATAATTTCATTCACAAGAGCATAAGCTGATAGCTGAATAAGATCTCTGGAGGAATAAGTATGTCTTAATTCATTTTCTTTTTTTTTAAAGGGAAACTGTTCCACTCCTGTATGTATTCAGAATAAGAAGACTGATTCACTCAACGAATGAGACAATGAGGTGATCTTCAACTTGTCAGTGGTAATGTTTGCTTTAGTGTAATATTCCACTTTGGGTTCAGAAAGTGGGTTTTCTGGAGCAAATCCTGAGTGAATGCTGGCCAGCAAATACAGCTTGGCAGCTGTAAATCTAGAAATACTGATGACCTTTCTTTAAAACTCACCATGATTTAAACACCTGTGAAAACAATGGTTTTTCAATCACAAAATCATTGAATTATGGGGGTTCGAATGGACTGCAAGAGACTGTCAAGATCAATCCCTCTTCTAAAGCAGGTACTCTACAATAGGTCACACAGACTGGCTCAGCCAAGTCTAGAATACCTCCATAGAGACCTCACAACCAGTTGGTTTTTGCTGCTTTTTGGAGCAACGCTGGAAGGTCACTGGAGTGGCACTGGCTATTCTCCAGTCTTCAGGCACGTCACCCATCCACCAAAAGTGGTTCAGTAATCACCTCTGCCAGATCCCTCAGCACATGTTGAGTGCACCAAAGCTGAAGCCCAATCATTTGTCCTAAGGAGGTAAATCTGCTTGGGTTAATTAACTATGTATAACTCCAAGGACTCCTAAAATAGTTACTTAACTGCTGGAATCTGAACAGAAAGCAACTGGCATGCACAGCTGTCACAACACAAAATGAAGAGCATCTTGATCGTCTTTGTGAATCAGGGGATTACAACTAGGCAGTGATGTATGGAGCAGAATGTAGGCTTCAATGTATTGGAAATGATGGTGGCAACGTTGGAATATCACAGAGTTTGCACCGGGTGGATGCTGACTAAGCTGAAGGCTCAAAATTCCGGTCGGGACAGAGAAGTAGACAACTTTTCTCTTGCACCATGTTAACACCAGGGCCCCATTCCACTTAAAAGGCTATGGAGCAAACTGTGGCTGAACTGTCCTACCATGCCCACTACATAGTCTAGACTTGGCACCTTCTGACTTCCATCTGTTCTTGCTGATGAAAGATGGACTAGGTGGGCAACGTTTTCCTGCAATGATGACGTCATAACAGCTGTAAAACAGTGAGTCAGCTTCGCTGGTGCAGATTTTTATGACTGCGGCCTGCAGGCTCTTGTTTATTGCTGACAAAAACGCACTGCTAATGGTGGTTTTGTAGCTGAAAAATTGCGCTACCAAATAATGTTATTGTTGTTTTTGTATCTCTGGTAGCTTACATGGAAATAATTAGGAGGCATTCCTTTCAGAGTAACCTACATATATTGAGTCATCATTTGTCAATCACTCTTACACTGATTTTGTTTAAAAAAAAAAATGCTTTGTATGCAATAAAACGGTATGAGGATGACTTAGATGTGTAGGAATGATTACACAGTGAGTATTCTGGGGAGGAATTAACTCGGGAGCTTATAGCTATGGTTCCATCCTAAAACCGATTATAGCAAATCTACCTTTGAATGCTAGATAAAGTATTGTAAGTCTAATATCAACATCAGTGTAAAGTTAGTTCAGAGCCCACTGTTGCATCAGAATGGATACAGCCACTGAATCCTCTGAGCTGGTTCAGTACTAATCATTATCCATCTCACACAATTACATTTATTCTGATGTGCTTCCTTTCTCCTAGCCAGCAAGTACAACCAACAGATAAGGTACTGTCTTTTCACACTGCTCTACCTTAGTTTTAACTGGGTAATGTCTGTACTTCATCAGTCTTCCTGAATGAAAAATGTGAGCACCAGGACTGATCTGCAATAACAGAGGGTGTGGATAAAGTGGCATCTACTCTGCATATGTTTTAAGGATTTACTTTGGGTTATACGTAGTTGGGCTCTGCAGACTGAACGCCTGTTAGCAGCTGTAAAGCAGTGCTAATTGGGAATGCTTTTACTGGATTTTTACATCCTCTGGTGTAGTTTCTTTTAAAAAAAATCACATTTGTCTCCTCAAAGATCACCCCCACAAGACAGTGAAAATCACTTAAAAAATCTGTTCTGAAACAAATGCTAATGTAGATGCACCTAAAATTTAAATGATATACTCTGACTACTTTAACACAAATGATTCTGCAGCTATGTGTGATCTGACAGAAACTGGTATGGAATCTTGCAAGGCACAGTTTGACAGCTGTAAATAGCAACCCACCACAGCCTTAAGAAACCACCCAATGGTATTTTTTCAGCACAGAATGGGCTTGGAAGCAAACATGAACATCTGGAAAAAGAAAGCAGCTCCTTTTTTTTCTTTATGGTGTTAGGAAGAAAACAGAATCAAATTAAATCTCGTGGTGTGTGAGTAACATCATTTCTTATAAATGTACACATCCCTAGAATGTCTGATTTCTTTGACTGCACATGCTAAAAGGCAACAGGCTAACATATATGGCCCAAACAGTCCAGGCTTTGGGGAGCAGTAGATTTGAAGAGTTAACAGAATACAACACAGCAGTAGCATAAATTCTGTTGGTTTAGAGTTTTCCCTGAAAAATACTTTGCTTCTAACTATCAGTGTTTTGTATTAGTAATAAACAGTTTTATAGTGACTTCTCATTTATCCATTCTGCAGGCAAGCAATTCCAAGGTGAGATGATAACATCAGATAAAAGAAAGTAATTACAGCTCTGGGGATAACTAGCAGCAACCTCCAGTGCTTACAGTCATGAAGATGGAGCTAAGCTTCTCAGAGTGGCATGTGGTAACAGGGAAGACAACAAGCCTATGTATAAACAAGCAGTTAGAGGGAACAAGTTGCCCAGAGAGGCTGTGCAAAATCTATCTTCGGATGTTTTCAAGACTCAATTCTTACCAACCTTGCATGATTGTAGAGCTGAATCTGCTTGTGTTGGAGGTTGGACTAGAGAGCTTCTTTTAACCTAAATTGTACTAGACTACGATGATACATGATTCCACGTTGCTTCTGTCCAGTGCCAAGAGAACACAGCCTTGTGGAGACACCCAGCACAGCCATATTCTCACTGCAGGCATTACTATAGATATGACTACCAGTCTACAATAGGTAGAAGTTTCCTACTAGATGTGTCTCCAGAGCAGAGCTCTGGTCTGTTCATTTTACATATACCTATTAAATCCACCAAGTTCAGTTTTTGGCTGGAGTACTCTTAAGCATCTTCCAATAATTTTCCTACTGGTTACCTCAGAATTATCCCACACTGGAGAATTTCTATGTGGAAGTGCTTGGAATAATAGGACAGAAGTGCCACAGAAATGTAACTGCACAGATATGCCCTTGTATAGATTTCAAAATAATTGCAATGCTCAATATTTACATAATACACTTTGTGAATGCTTAACACACTATTCGCAATCTGCGTTTAATAACTGTAGGGATATCAAACTGTGAAATGCTCAGGTGGCATCTCATTGTTTTACATTTCAATATTAGTTTTGATTTTGCAGCATCTCTTTTATTACATCTTAAATTTTAATGAATTTTATTTGCGTGTTCTTTGGAATCTGAAAGCATTTTACTCAGACTTATCAGAACACAGATACAAAAAAGAAACAACCATTCCAGCAGCTGCTGGCAATTCTGTAAGACTAACACACTATAGCAGATTTTACAGAGAAATGATGGAAAAAAACAAAGATTGAGTAAGCATGCACTGGTGAGAAAAAAAACACAAAACAACCAACAATAAAATGTTGAAGTATATAATAAACAAGGAATCAACAAAGCAGCCACAGACCATACAGGTGATAATAGCAATATTGCATTGATCAAAGCAGTAAGACTGATGAAAGAAAGCAATGAATTCTTTCTTTTCACAAAGGTACATGAAGTAAACGGCATGAACTGACAGATGCTACCCAAGGCAGAAGAGAGAAAATATTGAAAGTATTCAGGAAAATCAGAAAAACCTCAAGCTATAAAGAAATTAAGGTGTCTTGTTGGAGAGAATCAGAAAACGTAGCTCTTCATCTCCATGAAAATGTAAGGGTTAAATTATACAAAGAATAAATTGCTATTTGGAATTTCTTAAGCAACAATGAAAAGCTTGGTCTGGAAGTATATGGGTAGTGGAGAGCAATATTATGATTTTTTTTTGTTCCCTCATTTCACACAGAAATGATAAAAGGAGATAATTGTAAGTAGTGAACTGGTCACCAAAAGAAAAGTGGCATGAAGATGTGACATCAAACATAGTGACAATGACTTCTGGTCATTTTCAGAGGTCAGATGCAGGAGAAAGAATGAAATTCTACGTAGTGATGTATAACTTTTTTCTAATGTGATGTATTACTATTTTTCTACTGAAATTCCAGCTAATTAAGTGATGCTGAGAGAGAGAATGAAGAGGTTTTTGTGTCTGTGTTGTGTAGATGTTGTGTAGATATTATTTATTTCTTTAGGTAAGTGGGAAGAAAATTATAATAAGGTAACACCAATTTGCAAATAACATAAAAATTGAGAAAAAAATTCTCATTGCAGAAAAAAAAAAGCAACAGCTGAAGGCAAGTAGATTTTCTACAAAGTGGAAAATAACAAAATACGATGTAACTTTGTCAAATACAAATACACATTTCTATAGAAAAAGAAGCCAAAACATCACTAAAGTGCAGGGACTTGAAATTCAGTGTGCTGAGAACTTGCAAAGAAGAAATATAAAATAAATGTTAAATTCTAGTTTCATTTTGCTTTGAGTTTGATAACAGCATTTGATCTTTTGGTTGTTTTATCTGCCAGTGTGGGTTAATTAAAAAAGGTTAAAGTCACGAATCCAGCCACTGAGTAAGTGCCTTTTATGTTCTGTTTAATACACAGATAATGAATGGTCATCTTCACATTTGACTGGAACACAGTGTCCCTAGCCAATAAAAAAAATGCAGTTTTCTTATAGAAAAGAACATAGACATAGTTTTATGGGCAGAAAAAAGGTCACAGCAATTTTTCACTGCTTAGACATTGTGTCATAAAACGGAGCTACTGCAGTGTACTTTTTTTTTCATCGCAATGATTTAAAACCTATTTCTGTACCTGCTGAAATATTTGCAAATGCGTTGACATGAATACAACCTGACATAGATCAACTTCTGCTGATTCACCAGAGTGTTTCTCCCTTAAAGAGTATTAAACAAACTCTGAGAGTGCGAAATACCAAGAGAGAACAGTGTAAGTACTTCAAATATTAGGAACAATTTCCGCAAGCGAGATCCATCAGAGAAAGAAGAACACTTCAAGAAAAGTGTATCTTTTATAACACCTACATGGAGCATCTATATGAAGCATTCATACATACACTGAAGTACAGGTAGCAGTCCTCTGATGGTGGGTATAAAAGAGAGTTTTGTTGCATCTTTCTACTTTCTTACAATGATCAGTAGAATGAGTTGTGTTGTAATGAAGCCCTTACTGTAGAAGCTCTGTGGTGAATTTTGACTAGCTGCTGATGTGTATGATGCATTTATTCTTCTCTTAGTTAAATGACACAGTAATAAAATCTATTGCCTTTTCTTCACAAAATGTTGGTTTTCCAGTATAATGTTGTGGGTTTTTTTAACTGTTGTCTCAGAAATACATATAAAGAATGGGAAAAAATGAAGATAACAGAAATACAACAATTAGAGAAGCTGTAATGGTTACCTCCAGTACCACGTATAGTAAATAAAAGAACCTGTATGAAACAACTTTCATCCATATAAAATGCAATTTAAATTTGTCACACTTACCATAAGAAGTCTATCTCCAACCTGTAACCTCCCATCTTTTTGTGCAGCTCCTCCTTCAATAATCTTGGTGACATAAATGCTATTGTCCCCAGGAATGTGTTGGTTTCCCACTCCTCCTGCAATACTGAAACCCAGACCTAGAGAAGAAAGGGGAAAATACGCATTAGCAGTGCAAGAAATAACACTAAAGAGAGAGTTCTAGGGTAGCACATTTAATCTACTGTACATTTGCAATATTTTTTTTACAGAAACACAAATAAAACAATGGTTATTTGATGGATCAGTACATCTTCACTTTTCCTGGAAGGTAAGAGATGCAAATGAATTACTGAAATTATTTTTAATGTACAATTATAGGATGGCAGATATGAAAAGAATCAAACTAATAATGATTCTATCCCAATATCTTGTGCTCAGTAGGAGCCAGTAAAACCTCAAGCTTGGATGTTATTTTGATAAATGTAAGTAAAAAAGACATTGCAACTTATCACAACAAAATGAAAGGTATTCTTGTCCACAGAATCTGAAAAATACTGAGAGGCTTACTGTAGATATTATAAGTTTCTGTAGTGCCACACCGAAAATGAAAATGAAAGATAAATGGTGCACATATTTGAATTTAATTATGCTTTGCATGTTTTTCTAGGACACAAATATCTTTGGTTGTGGATATATAAAAAAGTGAGAGTCATTTGTGCACATATAATTTTCTCTCTGTGATCTGTGAAATTCCCAGTAATGGAGACTCCAACAGCCAAAATTTGGAGGAATGTCTACAAGCTGGTATGAATCAGAAAAAGTACATAGAACATCAGTAGATGTAAGAGCTTTTCATGCTTTTCCCATCTTCTGACACACTACATAAAAGACAAATCACTGCTCTCACTTATAATAACATTTTTATCTCTCAATCAGAGAAAAGGCAGAATCACTGTATTCTATTTCCATAAAAAGTCTACTCCATCAGATTATTTTTTATAGATCATAGATCTAATGGGAACTTCTACCTGAACAAATAAGCTGTTACTGACAATAACCTGCTTAGATTATTGCTTCAACCAGGCATCTCACTTTTAGCTGCACAGAAAAATAGTAGCTAAATAGAGAATAATTACTAATTTTATCTATGAAATACATGGTGCTTAGTCAATCTTACAGCAAACATAGTAGTAATAGCTTCAGCCTGAGCAGAGAAAATACAACAGGAAAAAATGAACTGCATGGAATTTGGCATTTTATCACAAATCCAGCAGCTGACTGCTTGTGCCCTAAATTTAAGCGAGGGTTTATTTAATACACACAGATTTCTTTAGCAGCTGTATGGATACAGAGATAAGACTTTTGGAGTCAATTAAATCTTTTTGATACATTATGTTTTTTTTCTCATATTATTTTTTTTTCATCGCCATTTTTAGTTTAAAAGAGATGTGAGGTCAGATAACATAATGGACTCTTAATGGATACCATCAAAACAGTAAATTACAAAAAGAAACCACTGAAATTATATCTCAAATTGAAATACCGCTTACTTAATTAAGATGGCTATTAACAATACACATAAAGTTAATTCAGAAATATGAGATAATTAAAATAAAGCTTTATTTAATTTCCAGCTAATGCTGGTGATGACTGTTACTATTTGTTTCTACTTCTGGGACAGCTACAAGGATGAAAAGACTGTGGTTTCTACTACATGGATGAATTTGCTCATTACCCTGTTGAGTGCTTTTGAAGAAACAAAAAGACATTCTAAGAAAACACCAAGAATTAAAATTCCCTTTAAAACTTTAGTTGTGGACTAGGAACAGTGATCAAATAGTGTTCCTTGGTGACATAATTATCATCATTTTGAAAAAAAAAAAACCAACAAAATGCACATTTCCAGTAAAATGAAGCTCTGAGAGAGGAGATGAATGGGCTAGACTGCAGCTGCAGAACTTCCTTCAGCTCCACTGCTCACCTAAGGCACAGCTGTGGGAAGATTAGCTTCAATCTCCTTTATTATAACTGTAAAGGGCAAGATCATTTCTGGCTATATAGCTATGATGTATTTTATGCAGATGGTTTCCTAACTCAGCCTGGTCCTGTTGTAGTGTAATAGAAGTAAAGACCAAAGCTTCCATTTTCTGCAGCGCTGAAAGGAAAGGCAGTGTTTGCTGTTTGCAGGGTTATATCACAGTTGACATATGAAACTGCAAAAAAATAAAAATAAATTGTAACATGCTATGCCATTATAAAAGTGAAGTTTACAATGATGAAAGCCATACTCTGCTTCTCTCATAGACATAAAATATAATTGTGTTACAATGCATGGGGCTATATATTGTTTGTAAGCTGGGTCTGCCTTTGGGATCCACGTAACTGGCTGAGAGTATGAAGAAGCATAAAAGAGCAGAACAAGGCATGAGGAATTACTGTAGGGAGAAAAGTGAGGGTGGGCTAGACAGAACTGAAGAAGAGAGTTTCTGTGGCTTTCCCACCTAATAACAATCTAGGTCCATCATATGTGCATGCTTTAAAAGACTGTTTCTTAGGAAGAATGGGGAATGGAATCTTGGCAACACTTAGTTTTACTGGAATTATTTTTGTCAATTGCTAGGACATTAGGAAAGTATACTGCAATAAAATTTTGGGGTACGTTTCCAAATGATCTGTCCAAATGATATCAATCAACTATGCTCATCATTTATGCCAATCATCTGTGCTACCTTTCTAAACAATGGGAATTCATTAAAGGCTTTTAGAGCATGATTCATCCGATCTCTTCAGAGAACTGACAGAGACAAGATGAATCACAGTCAAGTTCTGAAAGGCTGGCGACTGGGTGTGGGAAGAGATAGGTGGGAAGATCAATACCATACAGGTTCACCTCCAATTATATGAAAGGTTTCTGTTTAGTTTTAAGACCTACAAAAGGTTTGTGGATCTCTCTTTTCATTGGCTACATCACATTAATATATGAGATTTTTACTCTATTTATTACTCTATTTTAAAGACAGATAATCACTGGAACTTAGGGAAACACAGGGATCAAGATCTGTTCTCCAATCTCAGTTCTTTTCACTGCTGAGTAGAAAAAATCAAAACAAAATTGCATGTTTAATTGTAGATCCTTTTTCCTATTAACCCCTGCTGTCAGGAAGACTGCCATCAGAATAGACATCACGAGTCTCTTTGAGAATAGCCCTTTATCTCACTTCCTACTTTGTGCACAATCTCCTTTGCAACTACACCTAAATTTGGACAGAAGACCCAATTTCCTCATAATAGCAATTAGATGGAGAAAAATAAGAGATTTCTCCAGGAGGAGAAAGATGATTGGGTTTAATAATGGTACATCCATGCCATGCTTCATTTCAGTTAAAGCCACTGTAGGCACATATATGATGCGTAAAACAGACAATATGAATCAAACTCTATTTCTTTCCACTTCTAGTGAGTAGGTATTTGTAAAATTCATCTGCCTTTGGGATCCACAAATGTAGGAGTTGGCTGTGAAGTTATTAAATTACTTAGGAGTGGAATGAGGCATTGCTGTTATCATGAGGATAGAGGAAAAGGAAAGAGCTATTCTGTCAAAATTGCAGGAAAAAGTGCTGATGTTAACAATGATTATATACATTTATGCAATCCTTTTTTTTTTTCCCTCAATTATTAGCAAAAAATAAATTAATTAAAAAAAAATGAAGTCATCATAAAAAAAAAAAGAAACATTTGTAGCCAAAACAATTTAAAGACCTCCTGAGCACAAATTGTAGCTATTTCACAAAAACGTAATTAATAACTATTTACATCTGTTTTGTATTATTTGCTCTATCACTAAATGCATCAATAAATCAATAAGAACATATAGAGAACATATAGAATAATTGAATCACAAAATGGTTGGGGCTGGAAGGGAATTTAAGATCACCTAGTTTCAACCCCCTGCCATAGGAAGGGACACCTCACTAGACCAGGTTGCTCACTGCTCCATCCAACCTGGCCTTTAATGCTTCCAGGGAGGGGGCATCCACAGCCTCGCTGGGCAGCTTGTTCCAGTGTCTGACCACCCTCACAGTAAAGAATTTCTTCCTAATGTCTAGCCTAAATCTATGTTCTAACTACTTTTCTTGCAAAAAGTAAGTATGGAGATTTCTCCTACAGTTAGTCCAGGGATGGATATACAGTAGTGAAATCTTTATATGATAATAAAACCACTCTGTAAGACACAAGGACATATCACTTTCCAGTCATCAGAAAGGGAGCTTAAAAGACAAAGTGTAGCTATATAAAATCAGAGAAAGATGTGAAGTTAAATGAAAGCCTCATTAGTAACCCAAATGCAGTGTTGTGATCGCTCACATTGCATGCAGACTGTCAAGCAGGTTTTTTGTTTTGTTTCGTTTTGTTTTAAAGCTGGAAAGTAGAAAGAGGGTTTTGGAGAATAAATTCAACATGAGTCCCCCAGTTCTAGCTGAGAAGCTCCAAATAATAGAGCAGCCATAGGAAGTCAAATTTAAGTCATAAACTTAAAATGTAATTGAGAACCACATCAAAACAGTGTACTCTAGAAGTATAATATAGGTAATTACTAATTGTTTGATTCCTGATTTTACTCCAGCATCTCTTACCACCAACCAACAAATCTCCTCAACAGTGTACACCCTTGTGAAGTCACACAATGCACAAGACTTGTAACAGAAATAATAGGTTAGAATTTAATAGAATGTTCATGGAAGCACAAGAAGAAATGAGAGCATTCCCAGCAGTAAAACTGAAAATGAGTTGTTTTTTGTCAAGCCTAGAAGGTTTCGCTGCTTAGCAAGCAGCACAGATGTACTGCAGGCAGAAGACCCTGTGCTGTAACAGCAGGATGTTGGAAACATGGTTACAGCATGTGGCTGTATCCTTGGGAAAGCTGGTAATACCACTGAAGACATGTATTTGCTAAATGAATTAGAATACGCAGTGAGCAGTTATTTTCCTATGTCCTAGGGAGCCCAAATAAAACAGTACTGTGAACACTCCATAACACTGGTAGACTCCTAGACAGTACAAAACATCCGCCCAAAAATTACATCATGGTCATCAATCAAGAAAATGCTAAGAGGTGGTGTAAGGGTTCTGCATTCCATGTCCTCTGTCACACCAGGGC